TAAATCATGAGACCTCGGCGCCGCCGTGAAGCAGCATCGACAAGAGAGATTGATATTATGATGATCTTGTTTATGGTTTCGGGGACGCGAATGTAGCGTAATTTCAACGTAATTTAGAAGGGTTGATGGCTTCGGAGACATAGTATAATCTACGAAGGTTTCTGGCTTCGGATACACGAACAGTGCGTAACTTGCAAGGGTTTATGGCTTCGGGGTCGCAGCTATAGAGTAACTTACGCAGGTTTATGGCTTCGGAGACGCGAATACGGTGTAATTTACGAGGGTTTCTGGCTTCGGATACGCGAATATAGTGTAATTTGATAGGGTTTATGGCTTCGGGGTCGACGATCTTGCTTCATTTACGCAGGTATGGCCTCGGAGACGCGAATCTTGTAATTTGCAAGGGTTTATGGCTTCGCATACGCGAATATCGTGTAAATTGAAAGGGTCTATGGCTTCGGGGACGCGAGTATTAAGTCATTTTCAATGGTTGATTGCGTCGGGAACGCGAACATTGGGTAATTTACGAGAGTTAATGGTTTCGGAGACGCGAATCCATTACATAGTTTTATGGCTTCGAGGACGCGAACATTGCTTGATTTGCAAGCGTTTGTGGCCTCGGGGACGCAAATATTGCGTAACTTACCATGGTTTATGGCTTCGAGGACACGAAGATGGTGTATTCTGCGAGGGGGTACGCGAATATTGAGTAATTCACGAGGGTTCATGGCCTCGTGGACGCGAATATTGCGTAATGTAGGAGGGTTTATGATCTCGGGGGCGCGAATTTCATGTTTTTTTTAAATGTCTCACGCCCCCCCCCAGAAATTTTGAGACCCCTCCCAGGAGACGCTAACCAGGTTGATTTTTGGCTCCCCCCCCTCGCGCGGTCTACAACAAGGAGCAATAATACAACAAGAAGCAGAACTATCACATTGGAAACTGGAAACTTGAACTGGTGCAGGGAACAGCAAACCCTCGTCTTACAGCCTGGTGGCCCCACAGGGGACTGGCGGATAGCCCTATAGCTCCACTGCCATATAGTCCTATAACCCCATAGCACTATAGCCCTAAACAAGTACTTTGATTGGGGTTTTTCTCTGGTATCGTTGCGTGTTTTTTTCACATATTCTCCGAAGAGTGCTTGCACTTTGGGGTTCTTGCTTGTGTTCTAAGGTAACTGGGCCTCGGTGGCGGCCCGGCTGGCTCGTCGCTACCCGTCGCCGCCGCCCGTCGCCGCCATTTGCACTGGGCCCGGTGCCGCTGCGGCCAGCTCGTCGCCACCCGTCGCCGCCGTCCGTCGCCGCCGTCCGTCGCCGCCATTTGCCTTCGTCCAGTCGCATTCGTCCACTCGCACTCGTCCACCTGCGTACGTAGCATAGCATAGCACAGCATAGCGCAGCCTCAGCTTATCGCAGCATAGCATAGTATAACTCAGCTTAACATAGCTTAGCTTAGCGTCGCATAGCATAGCATAGCATAGCATATTACAGAAGGGCGTAATATAGCATAGCATAGCATAGCATAGAACAGCATTGAGCAACCAGTGTGGTGCGACTGAAGATTGCACCGCATCGATTGCACTGCGGAGATTGCCCCGCATTGATCGGCCCTTCACAGATTGCTCTGCATAGCCCTCTCGCCCCCCAATTGCGGCGAAACTATACTCCTTCTCGTCCCTGGAGGTGATATCCCGCCCCCAGGCCCCCCAGTGCGGGACCCCACCAAGATCATAATAAGGTTCCTGAGAATTCCTGAATATTCTTGGGAATTCCAAAATGACTCTTGAAGGATTCTTGAGGATCCGTGGCTCCCACCGCCCCTCCCCCCCGAGGAATTATTTAATGAATTGAGGTGCCAGGGATAACGGGGGGATGGCCCATAAAGGGTTCCCAGGTCTATATTACACTGCGCACTCTGCATCGCGCATTTGACATCTTAGAGTATGCTAGGACACACCGTTTGGGGTCCACGCCGGCTAACACATACATGTCGGTGTGTATGCATACAGGTATGTGTATAGGTAAGTGTATGCTTACGTGCACTTGTACTTGTACGTCTGCGTGTACGTGTAGGAGTAGGTGTGCGTGTGTTGACGCCCTCCAGCTTGCCGAGATGCTTTCCAGACGCCCTGCGAAGCCGCACTGGGCTGCTCTTCAGGCGCGAGGGTTTCTGACAAGCCTCGCCGCCGCCTGCCACGGCCCGCCCCCTCTCTCGCCTCCCCTCTGGGGCGCGCCGCCGGGAGAGGCGACCGCCCGCGAGCCTGGCCGCACTTCGCCGGGGGGGGGGGCGCACCCGCCGAGCGCGCCCGCGAGCCCAGCCACCCTCCGCGGGGCGGGTGGGACCCGCCGAGCACGCAGGGATGGCCCTGGCCCTGGACCTGAAGGCCCTGAAGTCCCGGCTCTCGAGGGAGGGCGCGCAGTCTGGCGCCGTCACGGCCTCCCTCATCTCCGGGGGTTGCCAAGAGGTGCTCCGGGCCCCAACGTGCCCCTGGCTCCCAGCGCCACTCTCGAGCCCCTGGGGCCCTCTGGCGTCTCGCTGCGGAGAAACCACGACTGAGGATTACGGGGGCCTTTGCTGGGCCCCGGGACCGTCAAATAACGACTCAGGATGAAAAGCCAGTCCCGGGGAAGGGGCCCAGACCTCTGGGGAGCCACGCTGTTGAACAGTCACGCCTCGCGGGGGGTGCTCTGGAGGACAGCGGCGCCTCCCTTTAGGCAAGCTGGGGCCGCCTTGGGGCCCGGCCGCCCTTTCTTGGAGAACGCCCGGTGCTCTGGAACGACCCCAGCGACCTGGACCTGCACGCCCGCGTCAAGCGGAACGGGCAGGCCCACACGGAGCACATAGCCAGCTGCCTGCGGCAAGTCCCGCCACCGTGCCAGCCCAGCGTTCGGGGTGGCCGGGGGAGGCCGCAACGTGCAACGCTTCGGGCCTCTGGAAGGCTCTGGGGGCCTGTTGTCGGGGGCGGCAAAGAGGGGGCTGATGATTAGGGGGGGGGTGGATATCATGGCGAGGGCCATGATATTTCCGCAGATTTCATGGCGCCTCTTCTTATTCCATTACGTCCCTGGCCCCCCCGCTGGGCCGCGCACATGCCGCCGGTCATGATTTGCATCTCCCTCTTGGACACCCCTCTCTTGGCCGCTCCCGATGTTGGGTGCCTCCCGAGGGGGCTGGGAGGCTGCCTCACTGCGTTGGAGCCGAGGTCGAAGGGTTGCCAGAGGCCGCCCTGTCCCAAGGTGCCCCCGGCTTCGTGCCACGCTCCGGAGCCCACGGGGCCCTCTGGGCTTTGCGAGGGGTGCTCTGGAGGCCGTGGGAGGCGGGAGGCTCCCCTGGGCCCTGAGCTCTGAGCGCTGCAGTTTTTTCACACCGGGTTTTCTCGATTTGTGTCGGGACCTGGGGCCGTTACAGATCGATCCGGCTCGAAAGATGGTGCAGAAAGGTGGGGTCTGGGGCTGCGATGTTGCATCGTTTCGTAGTGTCTGATTTCAGGAAACGTCCTGGGGACACCCTGGGTCAGGGGGCACGTCTGGTAACACGGGACCAGAGCCCTTTTTCTCTAGGCCTCCTAGATGGGGTCCGAGTAGACGGGTCGGAGGATCGCGCCACAACGCCGACGCATCGGCGATGCGGCTCGATGTGGAGTCCGAGTTTCTTCGCGCCGACGTCGCCGATGCATCGCCGACGTGGCCGGTGCATTGCCGATGCATTCGTGATGCGTCGACGATGCTGCGCGACCCTCCGACCCCACCTGCGCAGACCCCAGCTGGGAGGCCTCTGCCTGCGGAAGAGTGGAGGACGGGACGAGCAGAAGCAAAAGCGGAGGTTCGCGTTTGTGCGGACCACCTCTCGGGTCGGCGTCGGGCGCCCCACCCTCCCCCGCACTCCTGGAAGGGGGGCCCCGGCCGCCACGGGGTCGGCGCCAGAGGGCGGGCCAGCGCCGGCCCGAGGCATCTGCGCGGGCCGCCGCATTTCTGCGGCCCTCGTGAGCAAAGTCGTGGCTTCGTTGGGTGGCCGTTTTCGTATTCGTTGCTCTGCCGATCGGCGCGGGCCCTCGGTCCCCCCCCCTCCCCCCCTCTGGGGTTGATGCTCCAGCCTACCTCTAGCCTTGACCACCAGAAAGAATTTCGAGCACCAGAAGAGTACTGAAACTCGAGGGTTTTCACGTGTCGGGCCCTGGGAGACACTCGTCCGACACTGCTTCGACACTGTTCCGACACTCTTTCGACACTTCTCCGGGTGCTCGAACGTATTTCTGGGATGTGATCCTTTCGTACGACGGGAGCAACATAACTCTGGGGTAAATCTTGGCTGTGTTGGCGCCTGCTTCAAGCAGGTGGAGTCTCCCCGACGGGGCGCACTGCTGCAAACAGGCGCGCCAAGCAGAGGTCCAGAGCCAATCCCCCCCCTCCCTCCCCCCCTCCGCCAAATGTCGAAACGCCGAATAAGAAAACGCTCACAAGGAGCAATGAGATACAACAGCCGCAGGGGTGCCCGACGCGCGCCTGCGCTGCGAGTGCGGTGGCGGATTCTACGGCCACAAGAAGGCCGCCGGGGGGTACCTCGACGTCGACATGAACGTCCGGGACTCTGGCAAGGGCTTCTCCCTGGAGCCAGTCGAGAACATTTTCTGGAAGAACCCTCCTGGAGGGCAGTATAGGGTCTATGTGACGAATGCTGGCACCAAGAGCCATCCCACGAAGTGGGACGGGAAGTTCACGGATCAGGCGAGGAGCGTACCGTTCAAGGTGTTTCTCGACAGGGACGGTGAGATGGAGGAGTTCGAGGGAGAGTGGTCCCCGGGCTGCAACGAGATAGAGGCCTTCACGTTCGAGGTCGAGGGTGACGGCAGCGTCGCCGACACTGGAGGAGGGGGCAATTATTTGGTCTTCCCGCCAGAGGATGACAAGACGACGTTCAAGGAGCTCTGCGACAAGCACGGGGTGCCGTGGAGGATCGGCGGTGGGTTCTACGCCGTGGCCCGCAAGGAGAAGATCCAGGCCGGCAAGGAGATGCTGCTGCAGCACCTGGCCAGCAACAATTTCACGATCGGGGGGCAGAAGTGCAGGGATGCCCTGGGGTGGTCCGCGGGAGAGGTGAACATGGGCCCCAAGGATGCCCTCGAGCCTCCTCCTCCTCCTCCTCCTTCCCCACCTTTTACAGTCAAGACGCTGATGTAAGGACGGCTTTGGGCTTAGGAGGGGCTCTGGTTTTCGGACCGTTCCCTGGATCTAGGTCTGGGAACCCACTCGTGGCCGAGGCTCGCCGTGGCCAGGAAGGCCCCTTCGGTTCTTGTTCAGCGGTCCATGTGGCAGCATGATGGCTGTACTCCTCTTCCTGCCCCATTCCTCCTTCCCCCTCTGTCCACCCTCCCTGCATCCTCCTCCGTCCTCCTTCTCCCCCTTCGCGTCAGCCTCGTCTTGGTCGCCGTCCACCTCCCTGGCCCCAGAGGACATCCTCGAGGGTCACCGCCTGTTCGTGCAGTCCACCTCCGCCAACCGTGTGATCCAGCCGGGCACCCACGTGCTCTTTGAGGTCGACGACGCGATCTACGCCAAGCACCAGAAGACCAGCGAGATCGCGGAGGACGAGCACAAGAAGACCGGGGCCATTGAGCCGAAGTCCCCGGCCAAGGCTAAGGCCAAAGCCGAGCCCAAATCCCCAGCGAAGGCGAAGGCCAAGGCCGAGCCCCCAGCCAAGGCAAAGGCGAAGGCCAAGGCCGAGGCAGGCGCCATCTCGGAGGCCGACCAGCACGCGTTTTTGGATCTCGCCAAGGACTACAACTGGGACGCGGTGAAGCGCATGGTCAACGAGAAGCCCCTTATTGTCTCGGCGCACCCTGCCCAGAGGTGGTCCGCGCTTCACCAGGCGGCCGCCTCGGGTGACGAAGGCGTCGTCCGCTTCTTGCTGGACAAGGGGGCCTCGGTCGATGTCACGAACAAGGAGGGCCAGACCCCGGCAGACGTTGCCGCGAATGCGAAGATTAAACAGAATTACGCCGCATCCGCCGACGCCTTTTAGTTTGCTATTTCATGCATGTTTCATTTCGGTTGTCAGTCTTGCATTGCCGTACGGTTGTGATGAAGGTGCTGAACGACTCGCACGTGGCTTCTGTGCTGGCGGTTCCATGCAGCCCTACCCGAATGTAGTGTGAGCGGGGAGTTACTTCGCTGCCTCTTGCCTTTTCTCCTCCTCGTGCTCATTCTCCCTCCCCTCTTCGGTGCTCTCGTGGGGCCCTTTTGTCTTGGGAAACCTTGGGGCTGTCTTGGACTTCCTTGGGAGCTCTCTTGGGCCGCCTTGGGGCCCTCGTGGCCACCTCGGGGTCTCTTGGGGGCGTCTCGGTACCCGCTTGGGAGCGTTGGGTTGTCCTGGGGCTCTCTTGGGCCGTCGGCCGTCCGGGGCTCCCGAGGCCTGCTTGGAGCCGGGTGAGGCGCGCGGCCGCCGTGCAACAGAACAGCACGTGGTGGCTGCCTTTGGGGTGCCGTCTGGGTGCCGTCCCAGCCTCCCGACGCGCCGACTTTGTCGCGACCTGGGCCCCCCGAGGTCTGGGCCCCTTCAGGCAGGAACAAAAACACCGCCGAGGACCAGTGGAAGTGCCGTCTGTGTGTCGCGACGCGGGGGCCTCGGACGCCCCAGAGGTCTGAGCGGCCCGCATCGAGAGCGGCGGTGCTGCAGTGGACGGTTCGCCCTGCAGCATGTGCAACCGTTGCATCGTGGTTGCGACCCCCGTGCAAGGCGCCTGCAAGTGTGTTGCAAGCGTCGTCTTGGTCCATCTTCGGGCCGTCTCTCGGAGGGGGGGGAAAGGTACCAATACCGCTCCGCTGCTCGTCCGCACGGCTGGCTTCTCCTCGAACATCTGGTCAGACTGTACCGCGGGAGAGGTGAGGGGGGCATCTGGAGGGGAAAAACACAGACACATTTCATCGACATGGGAGCATATAGGAGAAGTGGGGGGAAGACGAAAACAGTGAAAATATGGGAAATATGGGGAATCCTTGGATTTGTGTCTATTTCCCCACATGTTTCGTGGGGTTCTGGTTTTCTTCCCTGCCGCGTCGTATCCGCGTCTCACACCCGCACACACCTCCCTCTCCCGCAAAGCGTATCAGACGTGACATACATATATACATACACAGGCACACCGACACAGACACATACACACAGACACACAGACACACACAGACACAAACACGCATACACACATACACCCTCACTCACGCGCAACACCTGCACGGCACGTACATGAGACACCAAAGGAGGTGCGCAGGGGGTGGTCCCTGAGCGCGGCCGCTATCCGAGCCGGTTGTCCAGGGCAAAGCAGGAGTGGCACTTCCTTGACACCATAGGGGGTGCGCAGGAGGTGGTCCCTGAGAGCGGCCGCTATCCGAGTCGGTCGTCCAGTGCATAGCAGGCGTGGCATTTTCTCGACACCACAGGGGGTGCGCAGGGGGTGATCCCTCACCGCGGCCGCTATGCACGACGGTCGTCCAGTGCATAGCAGGCGTGGCATTTTCTCGACACCATTGCGGGTGCGCAGGGGGTGGTCCCTCAGCGCGGCCGCTATGCACGACGGTCGTCCAGTGCATAGCAGGCGTGGCATTTTCTCGACACCACAGGGGGTGCGCAGGGGGTGGTCCCTCAGCGCGGCCGCTATGCACGACGGTCGTCCAGGGCATAGCAGGCGTGGCATTTTCTCGACACCATGCGGGTGCGCAGGGGGTGGTCCCTCAGCGCGGCCGCTATGCACGGTCGTAGCAGGCGTGGCATTTCTCGACACCACAGGGGTGCGCAGGGGGTGGTCCTCACCGCGGCCGCTATGCACGACGGTCGCATAGCAGGCGTGGCATTTCTCGACACCATGCGCAGAGCATGCACGGGTCGGCATAGCAGGCGTGGCATTTTCTCGACACCACAGGGGGTGCGCAGGGGGTGGTCCCTCACCGCGGCCGCTATGCACGACGGTCGTCCAGTGCATAGCAGGCGTGGCATTTTCTCGACACCACCGGGGAGGGGGTGGTCCCTCACCGCGGCCGCTATGCACGACGGTCGTCCAGGCATAGCAGGCGTGGCATTTTCTCGACACCATAGGGGTGCGCAGGGGGTGGTCCCTCAGCGCGGCCGCTATGCACGACGGTCGTCCAGGGCATAGCAGGCGTGGCATTTTCTCGACACCACAGGGGTGCGCAGGGGTGGTCCCTCGCGGCCGCTATGGCGTCCAGGGCATAGCAGGCGTGGCATTTTCGACACCATAGGGGATAGGGCGGGTGGCGACAGGGGGTGGTGGTCCCTCAGCGCGGCCGCTATCCACGACGGTCGTCCAGGCATAGCAGGCGTGGCACTTTCTCGACACCACAAGGGGGTGCGCAGGGGGTGGTCCCTCAGCCGGCCGCTATACGACGTCGTCCATAGCAGGCGTGGCATTTCTCGACACCACAGGGGGTGCGCAGGGGGTGGTCCTCACAGACGGTCGTCCAGGCATAGCAGGCGTGGCATTTTCTCGACACCACAGGGGGTGCGCAGGGGGTGGTCCCTCACCGCGGCCGCTATGCACGACGGTCGTCCAGGGCATAGCAGGCGTGGCATTTCTCGACACCATAGGGGGTGCGCAGGGGGTGGTCCCTCACCGCGGCCGCTATGCACGACGGTCGTCCAGGGCATAGCAGGCGTGGCATTTTCTCGACACCATTGGGGTGCGCAGGGGGTGGTCCCTCACGCGGCCGCTATGCACGACGGTCGTCCAGGGCATAGCAGGCGTGGCTTTTCTCGACACCACGGGGTGCGCAGGGGGTGGTCCCTCACCGCGGCCGCTATGCACGACGGTCGTCCCCAGGGCATAGCAGGCGTGGCATTTTCTCGACACCATTGGGGTGCGCAGGGGGTGGTCCCTATGCACGACGGTCGTCGCATAGCAGGCGTGGCATTTCGCAGGGGTGGTCGTATGCACGACGGTCGTCCAGTGCATAGCAGGCGTGGCATTTTCTCGACACCATTGGGGGTGCGCAGGGGGTGGTCCCTCACCGCGGCCGCTATGCACGACGGTCGTCCAGTGCATAGCAGGCGTGGCATTTTCTCGACACCATAGGGGGTGCGCAGGGGGTGGTCCCTCACCGCGGCCGCTATGCACGACGGTCGTCCAGTGCATAGCAGGCGTGGCATTTTCTCGACACCATAGGGGGTGCGCAGGGGGTGGTCCCTCACCGCGGCCGCTATGCACGACGGTCGTCCAGTGCATAGCAGGCGTGGCATTTTCTCGACACCACGGGGGTGCGCAGGGGGTGGTCCCTCACCGCGGCCGCTATGCACGACGGTCGTCCAGGGCATAGCAGGCGTGGCATTTTCTCGACACCATAGGCGGTGCGCAGGGAGTGGTTCCTCACCGCGGCCGCTATGCACGACGGTCGTCCAGTGGCACTTTCTCGACAGTCGTCCACAGGCGTGGCATTTTCTCGACACCACAGGGGGTGCGCAGGGAGTCCTCACCGCGGCCGCTATGCACGACGGTCGTCCAGGGCATAGCAGGTGTGGCATTTTCTCGACACCATTGGGGGTGCGCAGGGGGTGGTCCCTCACCGCGGCCGCTATGCACGACGGTCGTCCAGTGCATAGCAGGCGTGGCATTTTTCGACACCATTGCGGGTGCGCAGGGGGTGGTCCCTCACCGTGGCCGCTATGCACGCCGGTCGTCCAGGGCATAGCAGGCGTGGCACTTTCTCGACACCGTGAAGGTTGCGCAGGGGGTGGTCCCTCACCGCGGCCGCTATGCACGACGGTCGTCCAGGGCATAGCAGGCGTGGCATTTTCTCGACACCATTGGGGGTGCGCAGGGTGTGGTCCCTCACCGCGGCCGCTATGCACGACGGTCGTCCAGGGCATAGCAGGCGCGGCACTTTCTCGACACCATAGAGGGTGCGCAGGGGTTGGTCCCTCACCGCGGCCACTATGCACGACGGTCGTCCAGGGCATAGCAGGCGTGGCGCTTTCTCGACGCCAGACGGGTCGCGCACGGGGTGGTCCCTCAGCGCGGCCGCTATGCGCGCCGGTCGTCCAGGGCATAACGGGCGTGGCATTTGCTTTACACCACAGGGGGTGCGCAGGGGGTGGTCCCTCACCGCGGCCGGCATGCGCTCCGGTCGTCCAGAGCATAGCAGGCGCTGCATCTTCTCGACGCCACAAGGGGGTGCCTTGGGGGTGCGGTCGCTATCTGTTTCGGGCTCGCAAAGTGTGGCTGGCGCGGCGCTTCTCCTCTTCCACCTCTCCTCTTGAGTGGCGTCACCAACGGTATCGGCGGGGCAACGGCCACCAACATCATTCCCACATGCTTCTATTCAGCTATCATCACTCCAGCCATGATATAAGTACGTGGGGTTCCTCGGTAGCGTAATTATTTGTGTGTCCCAGGGCCCCTTTGGAGCAGCAGTGTCGGTGCTTCTCTTGCCCCCCCCCGTCTGGGGCCGTCCCGGGCCCTCCTGCGCCCCGCCCTGGGGCCCTCCTGGCCTGGCTTGCGGCCCCGACGCACGGTCCGTGCCCCCTACGGGAGAGCCCGGCTCCTCCTCCTCCTCCTCCTGCTCCTCCTGCTCCTCCTCCTCCTCCTGCGCCTCCTCGTCCGAGTCTGCCAGGGTGGATCCCGAGAGGAGGCTCGCACGCAGGGTGGCCCCGACGAGGGGAGGGGTCCGCGGATCAAGGCCATGCTCAAGAAGAGGAGGGCCGAGGCGGAGCCAGAGGGCAGGCCCAAGGCGAAGGCGAAGGCGAAGGCCGGGGCGAGTCTTGCCGGGAAGAAGGTTGTCTTTACAGGGACCCTGTCGACGCCGCGTGCCACCGCCACGTCGGCTGCTCAAGCGGCGGGGGCAACGGTGCTCAGCGCGGTATCTGGCAACATGGACGTGCTGGTCGCTGGCCCGGGTGCCGGCGCGAAGATGCAGAAGGCAGAAGATCTTGGCAAAGAGGTGTGGGATGAAGACAAGTTCAAAGCTGCGGTGGGGCTCTGAGGCTCTGAGGCGCATCGTTAGCACGTGAGGCATGTAGCGCATTGATTCTTGACATGCGAGCCCGTGTTTCCGGAGCTGGAGGGCAGTCTTCATGGTCATTGCATTTTGGTTAGTTGACCCAGTTTCTTGATCGTTGTTTCTATTGCCCTCTGCTGGAGTTGGTTGACGTGCTCATAGCGTGGGGTTTTCCTCTGGTCCCTGCGAAAGGCACTCAGGGCCTGCCCCTGCCTTGCGAAGCATGAAGTGTACATGTCTCTGAACAGATGCATGGGGGTGGGCAGTCGCAGCGTTTGCAACAAGTGCTGCGAGTCGTTCTTGTAGGTTTTAGCCCATGTCCTACTTTCACCATTCGTCGGGGTGCGGCTATCAGCGGACAGACACCACTGGCGGTCATCTGCTTTCAAACAATGCCCCCCCTGCTATCTGCCCACTGTCTGCTGCTGCTCCTCTTTCCGTCCTCCTTTCTGTTCCTCCGTCCTCGCTATCTGCTGCTTCCTCCGCCTCTTCCTTCCCCTCCTCTTTCTCCAACCTCCCCCTCCTCCCCCTCCTTCCCCTCTCCCTTCAACCTCTCTCCAACCAACTCCTCCTCCTTCTCCTCCTCCTCCTCCTCCTCCTCCTCCTCCTCCTCCTGCGGGCGATTGGCCCAGATAGCCGTTCAGAAGGCAGGAGGCCCTCCAAGCCTTAGGCCCCAGACCCCCGACTCCGCGACCTTTTCCCAGCTTGGGCCCCAGGAGGCCTGGACCAGTGGTGTGCCCCGCGTGTTTATTTTTGTTGTTGTTGTTGTTGTTGTTGTTGTTGTTGTTGTTGTTGTTGTTGTTGTTGTTGTTGTTGTTGTTGTTGTTGTTGTGGTTGTTGTTGTTGTTGTTGTTGTTGTTGTTGTTGTTGTTGTTGTTGTTGCTGCTGTTGTTGCTGCTGCTGCTACTGTTGTTGTTGTTGTTGTTATTGTTGTTGTTGTTGTTGTTGTTGTGGTTGTTGTTGTGGTTGTTGTCGTTGTTGTTGTTGTTGTTGTGGTTGTTGTTGTTGTTGCTGTTGCTGCTGCTGCTGCTGTTGTTGTTGTTGTTGTTGTTGTTGTTGTTGTAGTTGCTGCTGCTGCTGCTGCTGCTGTTGTTGTTGTTGTTGTTGTTGTTGTTGTTGTTGTTGTTTTTTTTGTTGTGTGTGTGTGTGTGTGTGTGTGGCTCCGGCCTTCTGAAAGGCTTTCTGGGCCTTCTCCGAGGACGCCAGGAGGCCTCTCGGAAGGCCCCCAAAGGGGCTTCCGAGGAGCCCCGCCGCCCTCTGCGGATGCCCCGGCCCCCCCTCGCACACGCGGCCCCCTGGAGGTGGCCCCTAACCCTAATAACACGATGGAGATCAGGAGGGGGAAAAACACACACACACACAGACACAATTCATCGTCGATCCCCCAGAAAATATGGGAAAATATGGGAAGTGGGGGGAAAGACAGAAACCCAGAAAATATGGGAATCCTGTTATTTGTGTCCATTGATTTGTGTGCCCCAGGGCCCCTTCAGAAGAGGTGGCCTCACGGAGGTCCCCGTTTTCGCATTGGGGATAAGAATTCTGGGGGGTTTGGTTCGGTGCACCTGCAGAAAAGACCCCCTGATTCCTGATGTTTTAACCCGCCCAACTCAGGTCCCCCCCCGAAGGGTTATGAGCCCTCTTTGGGTGAATCACCCCTGGGCGCGCCTCCGAATTCTGGCCTTTCGCCCTCCGGGCGTCCCTCGTCGGCAGGCGTCCTTCGAGAGGCGGACGGCCGAGGTCGCCTCCCAGGTCGAGGAGTCCGCGCGGGCGCTGGAGGCCAGCCGTCGCCGCGGCCACGTCGGGAGCGCGCCGCGTCGGGCCGCGACGGCCAGAGCCTGCGGCGCATCTGCGCGGGAGGTTGGGCTCTCGACCTGGCCCACGTCTCCCCGCTCCTCCCCCCCTGCTCGGCTCTGTTTCCACTCGTTCAGGGCTCCGCCCCCGGGGACGACCGGAGACGGTCTCTGCCTCCTCCCACTCCACCCGTCCCCTTGCAGGAAGGGTGGTGCCGTACGCGGGCGGCTCGGCGCTCCCTGTCCCTCCTTGGTCTCATCCCGCCTCGTGCTCCTCCTCCGTCCCTCCCCTCATCCTCCTCCCTCCTTGTACTCCCCCTCTGCTCTCTATCCTCCCGCCCCTCCCACTACTCCCTCCCAGTCCTCCCCGTCCTCTTCCTCCCCGTGTCCTACCGTCGCCCGCCCCCGTCGCCTGGCCCCTTCTCCCCTCCCCGACCCCCCCTCCGCCGGTCTTCTGGCAGCGGGCGCTCCCTTCATAGAGTTGTGGCCGCCGCCAATCGTTGAACAGGACCACCAGCTCGAGGCTCTGTGGCGCATCGGTCTACGCCTTCGCCGCCCTCCTGCACCCCTGGCGGCGAGCAGGTGAAGGGGGCCTGCTTGTGTGCGAGGGCGGTGCGGGGCGGGGCCGCTCTCGGGACGCTGGAGTCCTGGGTGCTGTCGGGCGGGGCTAGGGCAGGAGCGCTCTCAGAGCGTTCTGGACTGAGAAGGCCGCGGCGCCGGACACTTTTTCCAGAGCCACCGAGGCATAGATCCCCGATTTGTCTCTTTCCGATTTTGTCCCTGCCACGGCCTCGTCTTCTGTTGCACGGGGGCTGCACCGCCCGCTGGCCCTTGTCGTTTTAATGGCGGCGCGCACGACACGGTGGGGCGAGTCAGGGGTGTCCGCGGTTCGGTTGGCTCTATTCGTTTGGTCGGCTGTGTCGTTGCTGCGTCGCTGCGCCCTTCTCGGGGTTGCTAAAGGTGCCCCTGTCCCAAGGTGCCCCCAGCTTCTCGCTCCACTTTGGAGCCACTGGGCCATCTGGGCCTCGTGAGGGGTGCTCTGGAGGCCGTGTGGGCCTCCTCGAACATCCTGGGGGCACCTTGGGCCAGGGGCACTTCTAGCAACCCCGACCTTCGGAGCTGCTCGCGGCCTGCCGGTTTCATCGACGGCTCGGTCGGTTTTCGGTTGTGCTGTCGCCGTGGACGGTCCTCGGCGAGTGCAAGGCTGGGGCCTTCTCCGAAACCGTCCCGCCTTCTTCTCCTCCTCCTCCTCCTCCTCCTCCTCCTGCTCCTCCTCCTCCTCCTGCTCCCCCTCCCTTTCCTCCTCCCTCTCCTCCCTTTCCTCCTCCCTTTCCTCCTCCTCCCTTTCCTCCTCCTCCCTTTCCTCCTCCCTTTCCTCCTCTTCCTCCTCCTCCTCCTCCTCCTCCTCCTCCTCCTCCTCCTCCTCCTACGAGGTCTTCGTGGGGGACTCCAGGTCTTGCAGAAGGCTCGTGCCGTCCTCGGAGGCCCCTCCCTCGTCGCTCCACCCCGCGACCAAAGTCTGCTCGAAACGGGTTCCTTTCCGAGGACATCCTCGTGCGGCGCGGAACAAAAAAGTCCGCACGACGGCTCCATAAGCTATGGGTCGACGCTCGCGCGACGACGCTCCAGAGTCAGCCCGACGTAAATCCGACGTAGTCCCGACGTCGTCCGACGTGAACCCGACGTAAGTCCGACGTGGATCCGACGTAGATCGGGACCCAAGTTGCCGCGCGAGGCCTCCAGGATTTCCCTCATGAGCTTCTTTGACCCCTCCCTGGGACCATCCTTGCCAGCTTTTAGAGCCTCGTCCAGCCGTGGCGACGAGAACGGCCAGAAACGCCCGAAACCTTTCAAACTATGCCACTGTCGCCGTCGCCGTCGCCATCGATCACCGCCGTCATCGTTGTCGCCGCCATCGTCGTCCGCTCGTCGTCGCTCGTCGTCGCTCGTCGTCGCTCGCCGTCGCCGCTCGCCGTCGCCGCTCGCCGCTTGCCGTCGCCGTTGCATCGTCGTCGTCGTCGTCGTCGGCGGCGGCGTCGTCGTCGTCGTCGTCGTCGTCGTCGTCGTCGTCGTCGTCGTCGTCGTCGTCCGCTCGTCGCCGTCGGCGGCGCTTCGCCGCTCGGCCGTCGTCGTCGTCGTTCGCTCGTCGCCGTCGTCGTCCGCTCGTCGCCGTCGTCGTCCGCTCGTCGTCGTCGTCGTCGTCGTCGTCGTCGCCGTCGTCCGCTCGTCGCTCGTCGCCGGCCCGCCGCCCGCACGACGGGGCCCCTGGCAGCAGGCGCGGCTGCGGGAGGCCGACGGCGGCCTGCGGGCCGCGCTCGAGGCGGCGGACCAGCGGTCGCGGGAGGCCCGCGGGGAGCTGCGCGGCGCCCTGGAGGCGCCTCGCCGCCGCCGCCGCCGTCGCCGTTCGTCGTCGTCGTCGTCGCCGTTCGTCGTCGTCGTCGCCGTTCGTCGTCGTCGTCGCCGTTCGTCGTCGTCGTCGTCGTCGTCGTCGTCGTCGTCGTCGTCGTCGCTCGTCGTCGTCGTCCGCCTCCTCCTTCCTCTCTGACAGCGTTTGGGCGACGCTCGTCTGTCCTGTCAGGAGCCGCTGCCGCGAGCTCGGGTGCGGCTCCGTCGGGCACTTGGCGAAGCCGTAAAAAGCGGCTTGTCGCAGGCCTGGAGGTTGACTTCAACACCAGTATCGGCGGTGTGCCTCCACCGAGGGAAGAGGATCCCGATCCCGGTGGTGGTGGTCACACTCTGGCTTCCAAGGTGACCGTCGTATTACCATCAACACCGAAATCTAGGATAATATTCCCCCCTGTGGAGGGAACCCCCTGTGTTGGTGCTGGTGCTCATTTCCAGGCCTCCAAGCTTGGGGCCGTGTCGGGGCGCATGTGGCGGTGGTCGTCGCCAAAGGGGGTCAGACGAGTCCCTACCCAGACATACTCACGCCGTGAAAAAAGACGCGACCGCTCTGTGGGCCATCGCCGGGCCCCGGGACCGTCAAAAACGGCGCAGGATGAACCATCAGCCCCAGGGAAAGAGCCGGGGATTTTGGGGATCGCACGTTGACAAAATCAATGTGCCACATGCCTGGGTCCGGTCTTTTCTGGCCTCGGGCTGACCCGAAGTTGGCAGCCATGTGGAGCGGACCCCCCTTTCCCCTCCGCGTGCGCGGATGATTGGTCTGGTTTGGCAGCCACCACGCGGCCGGCCAAGGCTCGCGACACGGCCTTGGCTGGCCCGGGTCAACGCGTCCCCGACCAGCATTTTTCCAGCCTCTAGCCATTTGTTCCTGAGGCTTTTCCAGCCCTAACGGCCTCGTCTCAGTTGTCTCGGGTACGCTCCAGCCCCGGCCAGTTTTTCCCCGCCCTGGCCAATTCAACTTTTGGAGGTCCAACTCCATTTTTCCAGCTTCCCTGTATTGCGAGGTGCATGGCATTGCGCTTGATCGACCGGGCGATCGACGGCTTTCTGCGTGCGGGACAGTGCGGTCGGTTCTCGTTTCGGGCCCGCCCTATTGGGATCACCTCCTCGTCGCGGTCCATCTTTCTTCTCCGATGCTCTCTGCCGTGCTGCTCAAAGGTAGATCCGCTATTTAGAGCAGGGGCGCGTTCCTCGCCCGAGGGCAGATCAGAAACTGGATCGCCCGTGCCCGCTCGCAGTCTCCGGCCGCTCCGCAGTGCGGGGGCCCCTCGGGAATAGGACCCGGCAGGAGGAGGGCCCACATGTGTTCGGTAGCAAATCGTAGCTACTCGCAAAGCCGTCTTTGGAGAGCATGAGCGTGCGCTTGCGTGTGATGTGGATGAACAGGCGTTGATTTAGCAGCGTCGTTGTGCGTCGATTCAGCAAGCGTCGATTTAGCGGCGGTCAGCGTCAATTCGCAAGAGCCAGCAGAACCCAACGGGAGCTCCCTCCCCCCCGTCCTTCAGGGCTCAAGGCTAACTCCCCAGACATGCTCGCGACGGACGACATGAGGTTTTTGGCCATTTTCGGTCTCCGAGGGCCATCGCTGAGCCTCGGGACCGTCAAACAACTGCAAAGGATGAATAATCGGCCCTAGGGAACGGGTTGGGATTCCGGGGACCGCGTGTTGAGAAAATGAAGGCATCACATGTCTGGGTCCTCCCCGCCGCGCCCCACCTCATCGTCGCGGACCTGAACGGGTGTGACGGTCGAGCCCGTGACCATCGAGCTCTTGCGTGCACGTTTTTTTCCTGGGAGGGCCCTGGAGAGGTCGGCCGGCTCCCGGGCCACCCGAGCTGGGAGGGAGGGAAGGGGAGGGAGGAAGGAGGGATGGAGGGGGAAGGAGAAGGGTGGATGGGGGGAAGGAGGAGGAGGAGGAGGAGGAGGAGAGGGGAGGAGGGCCGAGGAGGCCAGTGAGGGAGGAGGGGGAGGAGGAGGAGGAGGAGGAGGAGGAGGAGGACGAGGAGGAGGAGGAGGACGAGCGTAAACCTCATTTGCATCAGCGATACTGCAATACACGTTTCCGTCCCAAGTCTCATCGTAAGTCCTTGCAAACATTCCTTTTTCATTGCTAGAAGGGCCCCCTTGAAACATGAGCACCCTATGGGTCCTCCATTCAGGCGAGAGTCATGTTTTGGAGCGGAATTGTCCTGCATCCTTCTAGCGCGTAATCAGGAATTCGAAAAGGTATGGTCATCCAGTCCTACGCACTGTCCAAAGAGATCCCATTTTGAGCAATGACCGCCTCCCATCCCCATCCGTGCAATTGTTGCAACATTTTCTGGTGGTAGAGCTGAACGAGGTCTCATGCGAGAGCCCCATTTTGAAAAGGAGCCGTTCTCCATCGGTGTAACTTGCAAACTTCAGGACGGTTATGCGCTGCGCTAAGGCGATAGCTCCATGTCGAAATCGACCCCACTCCATCCTTGTAATTGTTGCAAGCTGTTGAGACGAATGTGCGCTGCGCTATGGCGAGAGCTTCATTTTGACCCCCCACTGCATCTGGGTAGCTTTTGGGAACTTCAAGCCCCAGGATCATAATCGACGAGGAAGTGAAGTCTCAGGAGACAGCAAGGAGTTACATATAAGGCAATGAGATGTCTGATGCAGCGAACTATACACCAACACCGATTTTGGAAATCTCGATCTTAGGCCCAGGATCGGCTTGCCGCTGCCCTCCCTCCTCTCCACACGGCCGCGCTTGGAGGATGCGGGGGCCAGACACGACGCTGGCCTGGCGGAGCTGAGGTCCCTCGTCGAGGCCGAGGGAAGGGGGGGTCCTCCTCTTGCTCCTCCTCCTCCCCTCCCCCCTCCTCCTCACCTCCTCCTCGCTCCCCCTGCTCGCCGTCCTCCTCCTCCTCCTCCTTCTCCTCCTCCTCCCCTCCTCTTCCTCCTCCTCCTCCGCACCAGTGGCTCATGGCGGTCGAGAAGCGCGCCAGCCAGGCACACGAGAAGGCCGCCACCTCGGAGCAGAACACATTCATCTGGCTCGACGAATGCCTGCAGCGGAGCTCCGCCGCCGCCGAAGCGCTCGCCAGGGCCAAGAAAGAGGTCAGCGACACGCTCGCCATCATGAGCCGCGAACGGGGCAAAGCCTGTCCCGCATCCGTCCCAGTGCCAGCGTTCAACCTCACCAAGCTCTTGGCAGAGGACCTGGACCAGCTGGACTACGAAGAGGGTGAGGCTTTCTCCACCGAGGGCCTCGAGCTGGACGACGATGAGAAGAAGCAGTGGGAGTCCCGCAAGGCCGCCTTCGCCGAGGAGCTCAAGGCAGCCGCCAGACAGGCGTTCGGGGCCACCGCCGAGGAGCTGCAGCGCAGGCGCCGCGAGCTGGACGAGCTGCGGGCCCGCCTCCAGGCCTCGCGTCGCCGCATATCGGCGGAGGCCGATGCGCAGCCCCCCAGCCCCAGCTACCCCCGACGGTGCTGCCGCCCCTCACCCTGGAGAGACTGCCGTTCCCCAGGCTGCGCAGCCAGCATCGTCAGGGGTGGGGGCCGTGGGCTCTGCGAGCGGTGCTGATCAGGAAGGATGCTGGCGGCGATGCTGCTGGGTTGGCCCGCCAGGCGCGGCAGCGTGCGGCTGCCGCCGCAGCAGCCACGCAACCAGGCCCCACGTCAGGCTCCTAGCCACGCGTGCTGTCATGCCAGAGGCGGTGCGAGGGGGCGCTGCGGGACCAAGCCCCATCAGAAGCCAGGATTGCAGTTTGTTGGGCTCAGCGTTAATGCTTGGTCTACGACCATCGACTACATAGACGAGGCACCGGACCTGGTGCCATACCAGGTTTTCTTTTTGTAGGGGCTGCGCCTGTCCGCCGACTGGAGCCAGGAGGTGGAGGCAACATGCTACAAGATGAACCTGATAGCCGCCTTCGCCTCATCCAGAGGGACCTGGCGGAGGGCACAGTGCAGGAGTGGGGCTTCTGGCCCCAAGGAACATCGGCATCGCCATCTTGGACGGCAAGAGCGGCTACGACTGCTCACCACCAGGTCTGGCTGGAAGGATCGCCGCTGGGTGGACCCCAGCAGGCCAGAGAGCAGCATGCGTGTTCATCTCGGCGTACTTCTGGACCAAAGAAGGATGGACCATGCGTGGCTTGTCGCTGTTGGATGATATCGGCGGTATACCATGGGTCCTGCAAGCAGATTTCAATTGCATTATCACCTCTCTCGAATACACGGTGGCTGGAGGATGTTGCTGGGGTGCTCGTTGACCAGGTCGCGTGCGCGGGCGTGGGCGGAGGAAGGACGATCGATCCGTAAGGGCTTCGCCCCTTGCTGCCGGCCCCCTCTTTCGGATAATGTGCTATGCAAGAGCTATGTGATGAGGCCTGGGCGCTGTCGTGAAGCAGTATCAGACTTGATGCGAGGCCGACTCGTAATGGGCAAAATCAATAGATGACCAGGTTACCACACATGGCGATTGGTAAGACGTCGTGACCCTGACGAGCTGCGTGAGGGGTACCGCTGAATATCAGAAATGTGGCAAATCCCTGGTGTTTTTGGACCCTGGCCCCGCCGATTTGCGTGAGGGGTGCCGCCGGATTTCAGAAATGTGGCAAATCCCATGTGTTTTTGGACCCTGACCCCGCCGATCTGCGTGAGGGGTGCCAGCGAATTTCAGAAATGTGGCAAATCCTTTTTGCACCCTGGCCCCGCCGATCTGCGTGAGGGGTGCCACCGAATGTCAGACATGTAACACATCTTTTGCGCCTTTGGACCCCGGCCCCGCCGATCTGCGTGAGGGGTGCCAGCAAATTTCAAACATGTGGCAAATCCCTTGCGTTTTTGGACCCTGGCCCCGCCGATCTGCGTGAGGGGTGCCAGCAAATGTCAAACGTGTGGCAAATCCTTTTTGTTTTTGGGCCCTGGCCCCGCCGATCTGCGCGAGGGGTGCCGCCGAATTTCAGAAATGTGGGAAATCCTTTCTGTGTTTTTGGACCCTGGCTCCGCCGATTTGCGTGGGGGGGGGCTACAACGTGTCAGAAATGTGGCGCATCGTTTTGTGTTTTGGACCCCGACCCCGCCGATCTGCGTGAGGGGTGCCAGCGAATTTCCGAAATGTGGCAAATCCTTTTTATGTTTTTGGACCCTGGCCCCGCCGACCTGCTTGAGGGGTTCCACCGGATTTCAGAAATGTGGCATAGCCTTTGTGTTGTTGGACCCTGGCCCCGCCGATCCGCGTGAGTGGTGTTAGTTTGTACCCCCTTCAGAAATTTTGAGTAACCACCCATGGCGTTGTAAAAATGACCGTTTTGGGCCTTCCCCCCATCGCGCGGCCCATCGACAAGGAACAGTGGGCAGCAGGAAGTCAACAACAAACAGTAAGCAGCAATAAGCAGAACTCTTACAGTGGAAACTGGAAGCTGCAACTGGTACAGGAAACTGCGAAGCTAAGGCTAACAGCCTGGTGGCCCCACAAGGGGGCCGGTGGATTTCCTCGTCGCCGATCGCACCGTCGCCTCCTCCTTCTCGCGCGCCTCAGTGCTGGGCAGCTCGACGTGCCGCCGTTCGCCGGTCCAGCTCGCTCTCGAGTCGGAAATTCCAGCCGCGCACGGAGGGAGGTTAACCAGGCCTAAGTCGTTTTCCCATGGACTTGCCCAGTAGATTTCGTAAGCAGCCACCTGGCTGGCCAGAGTTTGGATTTGACAATCAGTAGAAAGACGAACATATGTTCGATGCATGGAAGATTTTCTTACGGCAGGCGGAGTCGGAGTTGGTCGATTTGTGTCAGTTGCAGCACCCTGAGGACTACTGCGGACGGGAGGGCCGCCCTCGTTGGATCCGCCCGCCTGTTGCTGGGCCGCGGCCGCGCGGCCGACCCAGGTGTGCCGCCCCCTCGCGCTGGTGGGGGTGGGTTGCGTCGCGGACCAGCGACGTGGTTTGAATTGCACGGGCGGCCCTAGCGACGGGGTCTTAGGATATGCGTGGCACGAGATGGCAGCGCATTCGGCGGCGTATCCGGGCAGGCGGCCGATGGATCTCCCCGCTGGGATTGAGCCTGCTCACTGTTCTGCATCCCAGTCTCACTCGCGACACCCTGCATCACGATATCTACCCCGTCATGGGGCCTCAGCGTGAAGCCCGGGCCAATTCCAGGAGCGTTGAGTGGCGGCAGGCTGGAGAGCGGGCCAAGCAGTGGAGAGCTATACTCAAGGATGCATCGCGCGTCGGGGCAGATGTCGCAAGCGGGCTATGGGCTCGCGACGTGGCAGAAACCGCCCCCGGCGCGGTCGAGAAGCGAGGCTGCGCCGCCTACCAGCTGGAGGATTCGCAGGTCGCCGCGGACGCGGAGGCCAGGGGCTGGTTCGACACGTGGGCCAGCCACGACAGCAGTGCTGGCCCGCCTCGCCGCCCATGGGGGGATATTGAGTGCGATGATAGTATGTTGTCAGGTATCGCCGACCTCGGTGCGCGCGGGTCCAGAGCCATCTACAGGGCTTGCAAGCCTCATGCGGGCATCGGCGTTTACATTTGGCATCCTAGATGGTGGGGTCGGCTCTCAGATGGTGCGATGCAGTATCTGGATTTCTTCCGCTATGTATCCCGCGGCGCGCAATGGCCACCGCGGATTCGTTGCATCAGGTCTTCTCTTATTTCCATGCCCGAGGGTGGCGCCGAGCCGTTGGGCCCCCCCCTGCGCCTATGAGAGTCGCTGGAAGGGCGCGTGCACCACTGCTGTGCGCCTGGGAGAACATGGCCAATAGACCATGGGGCGCAGCTGCGCCAGGTGGAGGTGCCGAGGATGCGATCCGGCGCCAGACGCTGGTCGACGTGGGCGTGGATGACGCCGAGGGCATCACCGCCGCCGCGGGGGTCCTGGACCTCGGGGGGGGTGGGGGGGTGGGGTGGGGGTGGGGGTGTTCGAGCACACCTCCGTGCACAAGCTCTGGGAGGTCGCGGACGAGGTTGACTTCGCCAAGCAGCCGCTCAAGCTGGACACCTCCATCTACGCGTGTCAGCGCTGTGTCGGCTTCAGGGGTGTCCTCGGCGAGCGCGCGGGGACCGCCTACTTCGCGGTGGTAGCAGGCGGCCCTCTGGGCGCGAGGGCTCTCAAGATGTTCGTCGTGCGCGTGGTCGGCCGTGTCTCTTAGAGGTGGCCGCGCATGTGCATCGAGCTGTTCGTCGAACGACTTCAGCCTTGAGCGACGCGCGGACCGCGCCGCGGTGTCGGAAGGGGCAGGTGGGCCCCCATCAGCCAATGCGTCGGGCAGATCGAGGGCGAAGGGCCGCCGGTCTGTCGACGTCGGCCAGGCTGTGCTGCAAGCAAGGGCCTCGTCTTTGCCGCGGCCCCTAGGGCGCGTCGGGCTCGTCGGCGCTGGGCGGCCTGCCTTGGCCTCGAGCTCGGAACCTGCAGTTGTCAGCTAGGGGTCGACGGTGCCGGCGGCGCCCATGCGAGACTCGGAGGGCGCGCTTGGGGTAGAGAGCTGGTGGCCAGGAAGAGACGGCGCAGTGTGGCCGCCTGCGATCGGCAGGGGGCGCGACGTGGTAATGTCGTCCGCTGTGGCCTGACCCCCCCCTCGCCCATGGCGCGGCGTGCGTAGGCATGGGCCCCGGCAAGCTAAGCCGTGCTAGACAGCTGGTTGCCGGCAGCCTCCTCGGGGGCGCCGCTGTCGGCGATGACCGCGCGCTCCGATTGTGGCTGCGCCTTGCCGGTCCCGCGTTGGATGTCTGCGCGAAGCCCCTCGCGCGTTGGGCGGCGACTGTCTTTGATGATGATAATCTCTCGGGCCCGGAAGCGGGCTGAGAGCAGGCTGGCAAGAGG